GATAGATAGATAGATAGATAGATAGATAGATAGATAGATAGATAGATGTATACGCACGCACGCACGCACGCATACAGTACATATATACATACATATATACCTTTCCAAAAACTTATATCCATGATATTATTTAAAAAACTTTAATAGATTATAGATTCAGGGCCAACAATTTAAAAGATTTCAAATATTTATTTGTTTATTGTTACATAATTTGGACTTCCACCAGCTCATAAAACTTACTGCTTATTCCCTAATAAAACCCAAATGTGTGTTATATATATATATATGTATGTATATATATATATGTGTGTCAATATTACTTCTGTGATGTCATTGTGTGAAGTAATTTTTATTTTATTAATGTTTTATTTTTATTGTCCATCAGGAGTTGGCTGGATACACTGGAGGAGATGCCAGCTTTTTGAAAGAGGATTTTGAACTGCAGCTCAACAGACGTCTGTTTTGGGATTCTGTACGACAGAATATATGTTATTCCAAAATGTTTAGATTATTATTTTCATCTTGTAAGAGCAGTTTAAATACATTGCATATTTGCTCAGCAAATTTAGCCACTAGATGGCAACAGGGCTTCAGTGAGTAAACATTGAAAAGTTATGCATAAAAAAACTGAATAGAAACAATATTCTTTCTCTTCTCTCAGGTGTTGTCTCTTTCACTGTGGGGTGGTATGCTTTATCCCATTGGAAGTGAGACATCTTGCATTGCTGACAGGTATGTCATATATCATAATAATAATATTGTCAAACCTGTTATTAAAGTGTAGCTATTTTTTCAAGAAGGAAAAGGAACAAGAAAATAAAGATAGGAGTGAAAGTTAAAAAAAGTGTAATATTAAATGGTTCTGCTACTTTTTTTTCTTCTTTTATACACAGGATTTGGAGCTAAAACTGTTATCTTGATTAATGATAATCAGCTGTTCTTTTGTCCAGATTTTACCTTGGTGGTCCAACCAGTGTACGAGGCTTTGGCATGTACAGCATTGGGCCCCAAAGTGAAGGTATAAATGAAATAAAGACATTTATTTAAAAAAGATATATAGATGTATACATTCATAATTTTCTGTAGAGGTGTACATATAAAAGATAAGAGCGTCCCATTTGCAATATCTATCATCAGAAACTATAAAGATTACTGCACATCACAGCAAATCTGCCAAGAGTCTTACAAAACTCACAATGTGTGAAAGGAGGGCATCGTTTGAAGTTCCAATATAGATGTCTAATAATATCCTTTACAAGGAGGAAAGCTCTGCAGTGGAGAGAGTGTCTGTCCATGGGAGCACAAAATGTCAAAGCAGGACTGTGTTGATGAATAATTGGAAAAAATGTATGAGAATGAGAAAGAATGCTTTGAGTTAGGAAAAAAGAAGCTTGTGTGGAAAAACCTCAAACAGCAAATGTTTTAAAACCTCACAATTTTCTCAAAACTTTGAGTAAATGAACGTGGAGACTATACTTGGGCTCATCAGATAGATCAATTCTAGGGATAAGCAAATGATCAATTGTAAAAAAAATATATAGCTTAAAGATATCCGCTATTAGAATATTTTAACATGACATAATCTTTATTGCTATTATAATTAATATTTTTTATTGCGTTTTGCTGACTGAGGAATTTTGTGAGTACCCAATTTGGTTGTACAAGTTTCTGATGGATGATTAATAAGCCACACTGACTTGATTTCTGGGTTTCAAAAGCTTAAGAAATACTGCTCTAAAGTATTCATAATAGGATACCCCTGCAGCTCAGTAATTGATCCGATTTAACCAACAGTAATTTTTACTTGGAACTTATTAACTTAAGAAATATGGTTCCAAGCTCTGCGTATAATGCTGGAGCACAATTTTCTATTTGTATTCCAGGTGACTATCTGGGTGGGGAGGCCTACTGGGCAGGTGGGCTGCACCTCTATACCCCTCTACCATTCAGACCTGGAAAGGGAGGCTTTGGAGACCTATTTAGAACACACTTTTTTCTAAATGCAGGCAACCTCTGCAACCTCAACTATGGTGGGTGGATGTAATAAGATGCAGAATGTGACATTGACTGTGAACATCAACCTTTCTTATCACTCATATTTCTCACATAATTCTTTATTGATGGTCCTGATTTTCGTCACACTAATTGTGAAGTAAATTCTGGCTATTTAGATTGATTTATTTGAAGTTTATTAACCAAAGAAAGTAACAGTACAGTGGACTTGAGTATTTTATCTAGTGCACTGTATATTTTTATTTACTTTTGCTCAAACACTTCATCTGAAAAATGTCTGAGATGTAAATGGAGTAAAATATTAATCTTAAGGAAAAAAGTAATGAAAAATCAGAGCAATATCAAACAGTTGCAAGTTTAGAAAATGTACGAGGTAACTCTAATTTTTTGTTGTTTAAATTGTGTTACGCAGGTGATGGTCCCCAGGCACACCTTCAGAAGCTTGCAGAGTGCATTCGTTGGTCGTATGGAGTGGGAATTGTGCTGCGGCTGGGAAACATTGCTAGACTTGAGCTCAATTATTGTGTGCCTATGGGGGTTCAGAGTGGAGACAGGTTAGAATTTGTCAGCTATCTGCAAATACTGTATGTATGTTTGTAATTTTCTGTGTTTTATTGGTTGTAATTGCACTGAAGTAAGAGAGTATAATAATGATGCAAAATCAGAGTAAAACAACTGCTCTGGGATTTTTAAAGACCCCTGGTTAAATTACCCAACACCAGTGCAGTCATTGGTGGAGAACAAACAGGTCAATCAGTCTAAAACAGAGCCGCACAAAGATGAATAAAACAGACAACCATGAACACTAACTCCAAGGGGTCAATTTAGAGTCGAGCCAATTAACCTAACCTGGATGTTTTTGGATGGTGCGGGGAGGCCAAAGTACCTGAAGAGAACAACTTTCTAACAAACACTGTACAGACCCTTGGTGCTAATTTGAAGCAAAGAGGATTGCCACACCTAGTATGAAAATGTGTCATGGTTGATAAAATCAAACGTACAGTTGTGTTCGAAATAATAGCAGTGCCTTTAGAAAAATGAGTAAATGTCAAAATTCTTCAAAGAAATTGTACTTTAATGAACACAGATACATTGGGGACACAGTACATTCTATTCCAAAGCAAAACAATTGCGCAAAGTCATCAAAACTAAAATAATAATAATAATATTTCAAATAAAGTAAGAAATGGCATGTTCAAAAGAATAGCAGTGTTGCCATCTTTCCTTGGAAACTCAAAAATGTACTGTACAAACAAAGAAATTCTTGATAAGTGAACCTAGCTGAGTATCCTAAACTAATATTTTGTTGCAAAACCACGGTTTCTGATGACTGCTTCACATCTGTGGTGCATGGAGTCAACCAACTTCTGGCATCGTTCCACAGGTATTGCAGCCCAGGATAATTGCACTGTATTTCACAATTCCTCAGCGTTTCTTGGTTTTGCCTCATGCACTGCACTTTTTATGTCAGCCCACAAGTTTTCAATGGGATTAAGGTCCGGGGATTGTGCTGGCCACTCCATCAGTTGAATCTTGTTCATCTGGAACCATGCTTTTGCTCGCTTGCTGGTGTGTTTGGGGTCATTATCCTGTTGAAAGGTCCACCTCAAAGGCATTTCCTCCTCAGCATATGGCAGCATGACCTCTTCCAGGATCCTGATGTACTGGAACTGATCCATGATCCCTTGTATGCGGTGAATCGGACCAACACCATAGTATGAAAAACATCCCCATATCATGATGCTTGCACCACCATGCTTAATGGTCTTCAGTGAGTACTGTGGCTTGAATTCTGTGTTTGCAGGGTGTCTGACATACTGCCTGTGACCCTTAGACCCAAAAAGAACAATCTTGCTTTCATCTGTCCACAAGATATTATGCCATTTCTTTTCAGGCCAGTCAATGTGCTCTTTGGCAAATTGTAAACGCTTCTGCACATGTCTTTTTCTCAGCAGTGGGACTTTGCGGGGGCTTCTTGCTGGAAGGTTAACCTCAGTAAGACGTCTTCTGATTGTCACAGTACTCACTGTCAACTGAAGGTCTTGCTTGATCCTTTTGGATCCCATCATTGGCTGAGTCTTCGCCAGTTTGGCTATTCTTCTGTCCATTCGAGGGGTTGTCTTTCTTTTTCTTCCTCGTTTTTCAGTTTTTTGCTCCCATTTCAGGGCATTTGAGATCATTTTAGCTGAACAGCCATTGATTTTCTGCACCTCTTTGTATGTTTTCCCTTCTTTAATCAATTTTTTTATTAGGAAACGCTCATCTTCAGAACAGTGTCTTGAACGACCCATTTTCCTTGTTTTTTCAGGACAAATGCACAGCCAGCATGCCAGTTGTCTTGATCCTTAAATACGGATCACCTGTTAACACCCTTTTTTCCCAGAATACCCTCCCTAATTGATGCCCTCTCTAATTGAACTCACCACTGCTATTTTTTTGAACACACCCTTTTCAGTTAATCATTCAATTTCACAGAATCCCCAGTATGCATGGCTGTCCTGTTGGGTTTGTTGGTTTTCTATACCTTTATTTTACCCCCCAGAAACTTATCTGGGGTATAGAGTTTGACATGTTAATAAAACCAGTGATTTTCTTGCTGCTGTCGAGGCACTGCTATTATTTCGAACACAACTGTAGATGTCTACAACACACGTGGAGAGCAAAAAGTACACGTTTTAATCCAAAACCCGTCATATATTTTGGGTAGTTTAGGAAACGTGATTTATTTATATATATTTTTGTGTCGAGAACCATACTACACCACTAATTTAAGTTACTCTGCATAAAGCTCAGTCAAGACACAGGATTTATTCTTACCCAAAAAAACACCCTTTTTATCCTCTCTGTTGATCTTGTTTCTTTAAGTATGCATCCAGCTCTTTAAAAAGAAGCTCTTGTGAACATCTATTTGGCCCTTGGGTGTGTTCTCCTCTTTGGCCTGTATGCCTTTATGTGTTTATAGTTGAAGTGTGCATTTTTTTCTCCTAACAATTGACTGGCATAGAAGAAATTCATCTTATATTGTATTGTTGTGGTGTGTTACAGACTATGAAATTGAATTTTATTAGAGTATTTTGAATAGTGACTATAACCTAACCCTAACTGTCTTTCAGGCTTTTTATTAGATGTGTTCATTCTGTACAGATGCAGTTTTACTGAAATTTTTTTCAGAGTGTTTTCGTACACTTAAAATAAAGTCGATCACCTCTATCGTGAACATATAGGCAAGAAGACATGGTAATGCCACTTTTAAACTAAACTTTTTTAATTTGAAGTAGTCCTCATTCTCTGATCCGTCCCTGCATTTGCTGATAAATTGCAACACTTATTGACACTTTATTACTTTGAAGATGAAGATGTTATGTAAGATTAAATTCAGATAAGAAGGTTAGTAGGAAGTGGTAGAGTTTATGAAGAATATTTTCAAAATTATGAAGCCATGATTAGTTCTAACTTTTCCCTGATTTTTATTCTTTCTCTTGCAGGATATGTGATGGTGTCCAATTTGGAGCAGGAATTCGCTTCCTGTGACAATGCCCCCTCTACTTCTGCAAAATATGATATAAAAAGAGAGAGCATCTTGTCACTAATCACTTCTTACTCTTTGTAAAGCGTGAAACACCTGCATGGATCTTGCGTTGTAGGAAAATGAGTCTGACCTCCCCAAATCCTTTTTACTTACCTTTGACGTTCTTAGACAACAAACTGTCAATGCTGGGCTATACAGCTACATAAGCATTTCATAAATAATTTGATTTGAAAGTATAAACCATATTAAAGATAAGAGTTCTGAGCATTATCCCCAGAAAATGGTCAAATTGTTGGTGGTTTTGTTTTCTTTTTCTTTGCATTGTCCACCGCTGGTATTTTATTTGTGGTAAATTTGTCCACCAGTCTTTTCAGCTACTGTATTCACTGGGGTTATGCAAAGAGAGATTTTTGGCATCCCTTTTTGTCTTTGAGACCCTTTCTAATCCAGAAGCATAATGTATGAATCAGAGTTGTAAAGTTAACATTTTTTACAAACTATTGATAAGTTAAGTTTTACTGGATTTGATTTTCAGTGTTCATCACTTGGGCTAGTTGCAGAGGTGAAACTCTTCCCCTGATAAACATTCACCTCATGTGTTTATACTGTTTGCCTTGTTTTTGATGTAGTCAAAGTTATTGATGATAAATTAAATTTGCTCCCTTGGTCTATTTTTTTCTTTGATTTCTACTGTCTTGAATTGAGCAAAATTATTTAATGGAGGGCATCAGTTCTGTGTCTGGCAGACTGATTGATATATTTTATGTTTCCTACCAAAAAGAGCTATTTCCTGGAGATACAGTAGTTTCTTATAAACTTAGTATTATTTGACTGAACTGTGCAGGATTTTTAAATTTGGTTTAAACGGATTTTAACATCAGTTAACCACGACTGAAAGATTTTGAAACTTGTATTTATATTGTAAATATATCAGTTAAAGGAACATCCAGGTCAGAAAAAAATACTACCAGGTCTTCAAATTGAAGCTTAGCCTGAATATGATTCTTACATAGTAGCTCTATGATTTATTGCACGCCCCTTTTGATTTTGATATGTATGTCAGTATGTTGCCCTGCTAGCTCTCAGCCAAGAGTTTGAACCTTTGCTCCTCAGGAACTTGTTTGGGGCTGTTGAGTGTGGATTTGGCAAGATTCAGTGATTAAAACTTGTTCTGTGTGAGAGTTACGGCAGGTGTACACCAGAGGGGTGCTGCAAAGCAAACAGCTACAACGTAAGACCAACAAGAAAATTAATGTATTTTATTCTTGTGCTTACTGTTTTGGGTTTTTTGGGAAATCCCATGGATGAAAGAGAAAAATAAATTAGAATAGACTTCAATGAGTGAAATTATAAACTAGTTGACACAAGGTTAGAATGATTTGTTGGCGATTTAGTTTACATTTTGGAATATGTATATTATTAGCTACCCTTATTCTGCTTAAGAATTCACTTTATGGGCAAAATGTGTGAAAGTCACGTAAACATCTTTCAGTTTTTCTTGGCAAGGGTTTCTTGATTTTGGATATATTCCAGATGGTCTGTTGTAAGGTCATGTAACGTACTGTAAACTAAGAAAATTTGAAAGCAAAAGAAAATGTTGAACTAATCATTAACGGATCCCAGCTGAAATTGAGCAAGAGCAGCTTATTACTCTAACAGGTCATTAGTCCATCATTGGGCAGATGGTGAGCATGGTAATATGTATGTGGAATACAGTTGGATACCCATGTCATTGCAAGTCACTATACTAACATGACAAGTATTTCTGATATGGTTGGAGTATTTTCCCGTGTAACTGTTTTTTACACATGAAACCCATGCTTTGCTTGAGGGCCAAATAAAGCATTTATTGAGCACTAACTGTGATAACTTAGTTTTGGTCACTTTATAGAAAAAAGTATATGTATATGTTAAATGTTTAATAGTCTTGAATTTACAAATGACTACAGCAAAACACATGACAGAACTACAGTTACTATCATGGCCTTTGCAAGTTGATCAGCTTCCTAAATGTAACCCTGCTTACGGCATGTGCAACATGACCGCGCACGTAACAAGGAGACACGTAGTAACCCAAAGCGCTGGTGGCGAGTATAATCTGGCTCTAGCAAGCGTGTACCACAGCAACTGAGTCTGTGTCACGTCACGCGCACTACAACACACTTAAGGGGTTGGTGGGGACAGTTGCGTGGAAACATCATTTGAAGGTTGGAGAAATTTTTCACCATTCGGAATTCATTTATTTATTTATTTATTTTTATACAAAACGCCGCCATTATGTTGTGGACGGCGAATCAAGTCTTAAGGAAATTCTCCTCCTCGTCCGTGAGTAACATCTATTTGATTTATAAAAGACGATTACTGAATTTGATATTCCCGTCTCGATTAACTGTTCATAACGTTCGGGTTAGGACAAAGATTGGATGCAATGCGGTGAATGCGGTTACAGTAGGAGAAGTTAAATGGGCTCAATTCTGATTGCGCACGATTTACAAATAATTTTTGGGTCTTTGGCAATTAGACTTTCAATAAATAGTGTGCAGTTTGCCATGCTTTTGTATGTTCTCAGCCTTTACGCGTCTACCTTGATAAGCTTTGTATAACAATATAGGAGATGCTTCATCTTATTAGCTTAGCACTGTACAGATTGTACACTGCCAGAGGGATAATAGTAACTGTAGGTTTGCAACCTGATGTAGTGCATCTCCAAATTTATATTTACCAAGATTCAAATGAGGTAATATAAGTACGATTGTAAGTCAACAAGATAAATGTAACACTGATTGTTTGCTTCCCTTACAGCATTACTACCAAAATAAGCTTAAACTAGCTATAATTGGGCAGAGCCTATTTGGACAGGAGGTATACAGCAACCTGAGGAAAGATGGTCACAAGGTTGTGGGTGTCTTCACAGTTCCTGACAAAGATGGCAAAGCAGACCCCTTAGGTGAGTTAATTATTCTGAATTGTTTACTTTCTCCTTCATTTCCTGACAACTTGATTTTTTTTGTGGTGAAGACATAGCTGTCTTCATAGTACTTCAGTTAGACATTAACACTTGACACAGATTCACACTAAGCATTGAAGTGGCTTATGGGTAGAGTGTGTTTATACAGTAAAACATGTCATCCAAACCTTTCCTTAAAAAAGACTTTAAAACTAAATATAATCAAGAAATAGTTATGACCCCTTTTAGTTTGAGGAATTGCCATTTTTTTGTTGTCATCTTCATGCTTTTTTCCAGTTAGTCTTATGTAAACCAGATGATTTTAGTAACTGCCTATTTACACTCACAGTTGATACAGTTAAATTACAGTTGATTAGTGCCAAACTAATTATACTTGGTAGCTAAACGTATAATTCTTTAGCAATCACAAGTATATAATCGTCTATTGATTTTAAAGTTGCTTTGATTTTTTTTTAATTGTGATGTAGTAAAAGTGTCACACAGTTTACAAATTCAACTTACTCATCGCTAGGAAATGCATTTGATTATTATGTCTAGAATGACTTAATGTAGGCATAAAAAATTATTTTATTAATTGTTGGTGCTGAAACCCAAAGTGCAGAAAACTGATCAAAGTAGTTGAGGAGAGACAATGTGTCAAAAGGGTTCCAGGAGTTCCCTAAATATAAGAATTTGCAGGTGTTGGCTTACTGTAAGTTAAAGGTTGGAGGCTGTGGTGTGGCTGTTCTGGAATGGAGACCATTGGGGGTCAAAAAGTGAAACTAGAAACAAAGAAAGTAATCTTTAGTTGATTCAATGGTATCAGGACCAAACCCACCAAAGGGAAAACCAACATTTTTATTGAAGGGATATCTTGTTATTTTTTAAGTGGGGCTGTAAAAGTTCATATGAGTAGTGGATAATTCCTTTCTCATTTGCACCTTAATGCGTATAGCAGTTTGAAAGAATGCTATGTTGTTCATTTTCATACAAAAATTTAGATGGAAAAGATTTGCTCTTCTCCCATCCCAATTTTTTAGCAACTGCTGGCTTGGCTAGACCATCAGTGCCTCTCTCATTTTCTCCAAGCTGAGTGTTCTCAACTGCTCACTACGCAGGTAAGACACTGATTGTCATAGGTAATACACAGCCCCACTTAAAAAGTAGAAAACGAAATAATTAGCTAAATAAACAAACAATAGATCAATATCTTTAACACTTAGCACAGGAAAATATTTTTCTAATTTCTTTGGAGCAGTAACAAGAATAAATGCTTTTTCCACAGAGAGTTGCGATGACAATTTATGTTCAAATTTAAGAAAAAGGATATATATAAACTCATTAAAGTTAATATAAACTCATTTAGGCATCACATATCAAAACTTAATTTTAGAGCTAGGTCAGGAAAGTGCACTTCCTTTAAGTTTTTGCCCCTTTTTGAGACGATTTTTCACTCGTGCGAGAATTTATTGGATTGGGCCGAGTTTTAGCTTACGTGTGTGTCGCACATCGTGTAGTGTACACAGGGTAAGCAGAAGTGATTAACCTCTCACAACCTCCTTCCGATCAACAATCATATGGTCGGATGAAAATAAAACCGGTTTGAAATTCTGGTCGTCTCTTGTGAGGCTATTGCGTGAGCGTTGGGCCGTATAGTGTGAGAACATAAATCGTGAGCTGCGAACTTTTACAACCTGCAAATTTGTCGTGCAGTTTGAGCTGGAGCCAAGTGCAACTATTGAAAATATCACACAGTGTATGCCCAGCTTTAGTGAAACCTATGACAAAGTATAATTAGTGAAAAATGTCCTCTACCAAATGGTTAAGCAGGATATTAAAGGGTTCGAGTTTCAGATACATTTTTGATACCTTGTTTTCTGATGACATCAAATATTGTTACATATAGACTCAGTGAAGTAGTTTTTACATAAAAAAACAGGAATCTTCTAAGAAATGTTGGAAGAATTGGAGCAGACTTTTTACACAGTTGCTGTTAACAGCTGTAATTTGGAAGTGATCTGCTTTGGCTGGAAATCCAATGTGCGAGTGTTTAGTTGGCAGATGGTTGCTATTTTTTAATATCTAATTGAAAATGATCATTGGGGTTCTTTGATGATATGAGTATCTAAAATATCAGATGTTTACATTTACACATGCCATTACGTTGGCTTTATATCATTATGTGTGAAAAATGCTTCAGCAAGATTTGATACTACCTACTGAAGAAATAATTAACAATGTCATTTAAACTGACAGGATTATTTTTTCAATAAAAAATAATTGTTATAAAACTGTTACCTTATTGACAGTTTAATGACTGAAGACAAGTATTAATCTAAACAGCTTCTTCCAGCTGTTCAGAAGAATTGCACCTCACAGCAAGAGGGTTTGAAATCTATCTGACCACTCACCATCCAAAAAAATTACATTTTGGTTAATTGATCATTCTCAGTTGCCCCGTCGGAGTACAACCCTCTCATTCACAATATGAAGTTTCCCACAGTGATGTATAATCATTCATTCTTTCATTGTTGTTAAAATCCCCCTCTTATTCAGCATAGTATAAGTTGTATTTAAGCAATAATATAGTTGTGTGTGTGAGAGCCAAATATGTGATCGTGCGTGGGAGATAAAACATAGTTGTTAGCATGAGCGCAACAGTCGTTTTAGTACTGCGCATGAGAGAAAACAGTTGTGTGTGTGAGAGCAACAGCTGTTTAAGTTATGTATGTTTAAGATAAAACATCCTTTTTGACCTATATGGCACCTTGTGTCTCTGTTTGACGCTGAAATGGGCTGGCAACCTGTCCAACTTAATCCCACCATGACCTTATTGTGATTTAATGGTATAGAAAATAAATTAATGAAATAAGTCTAAGTGTGTAAAGTACCTTATCTGACTATTCATTCGAATGTTTGTCCTGGATCCTAACTGAAAGTCATCTGAGGCCTGTACTGTGGCTGAGATAAATTTGTACTGACTCCACCATGGCCCTGGACAAAGACAGGCCTTTAGCCTGCATTATGGAGGGATAGTGGCTCCATTGTTTGTCTGGGGAGAGGCCCTGTATGGTCTAGAGAAGCAGTTCTGAGGTGAAAAGTCTTTACAAGATTTCTATCAAAGCTTTAGCAACTGTCTATAATAACTAACTGCCAGTATTCTCTTGATCCCTTCCTGACAGTTTTATCTGAAACGATTAAGTTATTTAGGAATTGCTTGATTTTTCTTATTCTGAGGATCTAGTTATGAGGAATTTCATATTTAAAGCAATTTCACATGTAAAGGAACATGAGACCTAAAAAGTACTTGAAATGACAGTACTAAATCTGGAAAGGGCATACTCTTTGTTTATAGGGATTCAGACCTTTAAGGTTTCAATAAAACCAACAAGTTTGCTGTACTTCATATCACTTGACACTGTGTGTATAATTTGATAAATGACCATTGTGTTTGAAAACCACAATAAAAGATAGAATATATGGCAACAGCTTGAACTCTGAAATAGGTTTGGGCTTATTTCGATTTTATAGGATACTGAAGACACATGAAAAAGTCATGGTTTCAAAACCATGAAAACATTTCTGTAATATCGTTCCTGCAGTATAAGCCACTTATAGTGGCAGCCCTTGTGTTCATCAAATGGTAAACCTAAAGATGGGTTATTGCTGACCCTGACACAAGACACATATGGCCTTCTACACGATGAAATAAATATATGTAAACCAACTAAAAAATCAAAAGTCTTCCACTCAGTGTTTTCCAAAAGAGCTTTGCTTTTAAACTGCACCACTTTATTGTCTTTTATTCTTTAAGCTGTGGCAGCAGAGAAGGATGGAACTCCAGTTTTCAAGTTTCCGAGGTGGCGAGTTAAGGGGAAGCCTATTCCGGCAGTGGTGGAGGCTTATCAAGCATTGGGTGCAGAGCTCAATGTCATGCCCTTCTGTTCCCAGTTTATCCCTATGAATGTCATCAACCACCCAAAGCATGGCTCAATCATCTACCACCCTTCTATCCTGCCCTTACACAGAGGAGCCTCTGCCATCAACTGGTGAGAAGGACGATAGGAATTTATCCATATCGTGACAATATTCATCCATTTGCTGTTCTCTGTTAACATATTGTTACTTTGATTGCCCCAGTATCTCATCTTATTTCTCCCCTGATTGGATTTTCAGTCACTTTTGTACAGTAACATTCAATCATTTGGACTCACCAACCAGTTCTTTTTTAATATGTTTGGTGTATATTCTATTTCTCTTTATTTTTCGTCAGGACACTTATCCAAGGTGATAAAAAAGCCGGATTCACAGTGTTCTGGGCAGATGATGGACTGGACACAGGCCCTATTTTGCTCCAGGGAGAATGTCCTGTTGAGCCTAATGACACTGTGGATACACTGTATAACCGCTTCCTCTTCCCTGAGGGCATCAAAGCTATGGTAACAATAAGAATTTCATTGATAAATTTCAATGACTTTCACAGACACATGTGACTGAGCTGTCACTGTTGATATAGGTGCAATCAGTGCAACTTATTGCTGATGGAAAGGCACCTCGAATTCCCCAGGCTGAAGAAGGAGCGAGCTATGAGGGTATTCAGAAAAAATCCAATGCCAGGGTAAGCGTTTTAAAAGAATTCAGAAATCTGAAATAATTTCAAAAGCATTTAATTTGATTATATAATATCTCTGACTTTAACCACTGGTCAAAATATGAAACTGAATATTTTGTGCATGTTCACCCTGGCTGCACCTTCCTAACTTGGACTATTCTCTTACAAGTTGTTAAACAGCCACTCAGTGTAATAACCCTCACTGAGTGGACAGCCTGGAAATTTACTATTGTCTTATCTGTGCTGCTCAGTGAGAGTGTAAGCACTGACTGGTTTATACTGGTTTAATCTATAAGTAGAAAGAAAGAGGTGGGGCAGACCTTAACTGCTTTCTGATTTGTTGCTTCATGGCATGTTGCTGGCCTCATTTCCCAATGTGCTATTCTTAGAGAAGTAGTTTATTTTCCAGTATAATTTTCCATGTTGCTCTCAGATTTCAATAGCCAGCTATTTGCCTTTCCTCACATTCTCAGAAATTCAGGTTACCTAATCTGAAAGTAAATGTGAGATGTCAGCAGTGTTGAAACTGGCCTCTCCCTGCATCTCTCAGGTTGACTTGGCCCAGCCAGCTGAGGCCATCCATAACTGGATCCGTGGCCATGACAAAGTCCCAGGGGCTTGGACTATCATTGATGGTCAGGTGAGTTTCTTGGAACGAACTGGAAAAGAAAAGCACATCTGATGTGTATGGCTTGTGCAAGAAATTAAATGAAATCTCCCATAATTTTTTTTTTTATCAGTGTAAGAATGTAGATCAATCTATCCATTTTCTATATGCCCATACCCAACGAGGTCATGGGGGGGGAGGGGCTGGAGGCTATCACAGCTGACAATGCGTGAGAGGAGAGGTACACCCTGGACATGTTGCCAGTCCATGGCATTGCCACAAAGAAAAAACCAACCACACACACTAACATTCACTCTAAGGAGCAATTAAGGGTGTCCAGTTAAACTAACATGCATCTTTTTGGATGGTGGGAAAAAGCTGGAATACCTGGAGAGAACAGAATGTAGATATATATTCATATTATGTTCAATTAAATTTTTTTTATATAGAGACAAATCTCAACAAATGTCATCCTTAGGCACTTAATATAGTCAATTTGAACCAATTAGTATCCAATTCACTGCGTTATCATGATATATCATAATCATAATATAACAAAATACTGCTAAATTTGAATCTAGTTCAGTTTATACAGACCAAATAATTAGGATCAAATAGTAATTTGAATCAGATGATACAACCTAGTGGAAGAATAAAATAATTGTGTCGAATTGCATCGAGTTGGTACTAGTGGAAAAGAACCATTTAAAAAGTGTTCCAAAACAGCAGGTATATACATACACCTTGTTGCATATTCACACATTTGCCCAAAGCATATAACACATTCAAAACTGAATTCAAGGAAAATTCCTTAATCAGTCATAAAATACAAAAATATCATTATTAAAAAATAATTATTTAAATTAACCATACATGCACATTTAAAAGTTTAATCCTCATAATCACATTGGGTAATTTCAATTAATTTAATGAGGTCAAACTTTTATTTTAAGTCTGTTCCGTGCAAAGGAAGCAGTATATTGATTTCCCTTTCAAGCTATTCAAGACAGTTTCTGGGTACAAACAGAATAAATTATGAATTCTTAAAGACTAACTTCTTCTTTTTTGTAAAAACAAGCTTTGAAGCTAGCTCTTTGAGCCTGATATCAGACTTCAGCTTAGATTTACATTTCTTACATAAAATACTTTTCAGTATTCAGTAATCAAGTAAGGAAATCAAGCAAACTAACAGCATCAAAACTTCTCTTTGATTTAATCCCTGTTCTGAGCATACACAGTTTGAGAGTGGAGAGAGAGGTTCCCTCTCAGCATGAAAATATTCTGAAGAATCTGGATCAGGACAGTCAGCCAACTTTCTTAATTAGCTGGGATTTAGATGGACAGGAACAAGATATTTCTACATATATGTTATGAAGGCCCCTTTGTGTTTTTCCCCAGGCCGTGACTCTTTATGGCTCATCCATGATGGGGACCTCAATACCAGCTGGTGAGCCTCTGGAAATTGAGGGGGCCTCCCAAACGGGTATTGTTTCAAAGAATGGGCTCATCTTGCATGGAACTGATGGAAAAGCTGTAAGTTTTCAAAATGTAAAACAGAGTCGAGTCATTGGAGTATCTCTGTTGCTGGCCAATACAGAAATGCTATTGTTTTTCAACTGATGTTTCATTCATAGGGATTTTTTCAAACATAACTTGGTTTTATGAATTTTATGTTATGTTCATTCAAACTATTATTTGAGAAGTTGCTAAACAGCTGGTTGTATAACTTTTTATGCTCCTGTGTTTTATCTGTCCACCATTCGACACAGCTCCTGGTGAAGAATCTACAGTTTGAAGATGGAAAGATGATCCCTGCTTCCAAGTACTTCTCTTCTGGAAAAAGTTCCAACATAGAGTTGACTGATGATGAAAATAAAATGGCAGATGTGATCAAGGTACGTGAACAACAGGGATCTATTTTTAAAAAGCCAAAAAGAAAAATGATTATGAAAAATAATTAAACCATTTTTTATTTAAAGATCATCTGGAAAGGCATTCTAAGCAATGTACCAGTCATTGAGGACAACACAGACTTCTTTAAGTCCGGAGCTGCATCCATGGATGTTGTTAGGTGAGGAAACAAAAGGAATAGTGATATAATACTGAATACTAAATACTGAATGATACTGAATACTACAACAGTGTCTGTTAATTTATTTATCATAAATTATCCTCTCAGTTCTTGAGAAATAACAGAATATGTGTGACTGAACAGTGTTAAAGCACTTCAACCATCCATTATACTATGTTAAGCATACTAAAGTTTATGAAAAATATTCTTTACCGTCAAACTTATTCACTGTCTTTACACAAATATTACCACAAGGTTTGGAAGTGTTTTATAGAATGTTGACAATTTTTCCAGAAGCACATTTGTGAGATTGTGATGTTGGATTAGAAGGCCAGACTCCAGTCTCTGCTCTAATTCATCCCATAACTATTCTATTAGGTTGATGTCAGGACTCTTGGCAGCCAAATACAATTATTTCTAATTTTACATGGCTTGTCACTTTGAAACTGAGCCAATTTGTTATAATACCACTGACTGTGAAATATTTAGAAACAAAGAATACACTAGTGGACAGCTACAAAAAATGGATCGCTACAAAGACTGGAGAAGATTCAATTAATCATTTGCTAAATTTTGTAACCTCACACTACAACAACTAACTCTTCAACCACACACAGGCTTTTATTTCCTGATTTTTTCCTGGTCCAACAAAAATAAATGTTAATGAATATGATCAGAGTTTCGGGTCAAAGTCAATGTAAAACAGTCAATACTCACCCAAAGAACAACTGTAATTTCTTCATGGTGTACTTTTTGCTGATGGGCCAGTTGCAGTCAACGGACTGAAAGTTGTTCAGCCTCGCTGTAAATGGGCAATAGTTTGTATTGAATATTCTCAAGTTAATTAGCAGTTACATTGTCTAAGATGATACAGTGTTTACATTTTTTAAACAGGTTCTGCTGATGGGAAAAGATTGTAGATTCTCTTTTATTGTCATTGAACTGATGTTGAACCAAACCCGCAGTTACAATCTTTTGAAATCCCTCCAAATGCCATAAAATAAGAATGATGTAATGAAATATTCTCCTGTTTAGCAGGTTAGTTGCTGCAAAAGGTACAAATAGACCATTGGAAGATAATTACTGACAAAGTTGCTGGGAGAAGGGAGTAATGACCATGAACTACATACAACAAAGACAACAATATACAGTATTATTTGGCACAAAGTGTAATAATGCTAAGAGTGACTACAAGGACACAAAGACAGCAGGTGGTGAAAACATAAGAGAAAAGTAAATATAATTAAAAAAGTGGCACACCAGTTCAAGTGTGTGTTACTTAAAGCAGCTATGACATTAGACTTAGACTTAGACTTAGACAGTACTTTATTGATATCTTGGGAAGACTCCCTCAGGAAATTAAGGTTACCAGCATCTTACAGGGCAAAAAAGTATTAAGTTAAATTAAATTAAATTAAGCAAAAAAAAAAAAAATACAGATTAAGTACTGTGTATATAATAGGAGTTGTGTGTATGTAATATAGGAGTTTGGCGGATAGATTGACCAGTGATATGGTTTGCACTATGTAGTTTGTCCTGATAAATATGGAGTTCACATTTTACAGAAAAAATACAAGTGGTGCTACTCCTTCCTTCTTCCCCCTGTCCTGTGTCACCTCCTCGCCCCCAGTGAGGCGTTGTACAGTCTGATGGTGTGGGGGACAAAAGAGTTCTTAAGTGATTAAAAATTATTCAAAGCAAAGAAATGTTACTTTTCAAAAATATTTTTTCACACAATAGAAAAAATACCTGTAATCTTGCAGATTACACCTGAGGAGAACTTGAGCACAGAAGCTGTTTGCACTTATAAAGAGTTGTCTTTTTCACATTCAGGTTAGTGGAGGAAGTAAAGCAGAAATGTGCTGGTGTCCAAATACAGAACGAGGATGTGTATATGGCTACCACATTTCAGGACTTCATCCAGATGTTTGTTCGCAAGCTTCGAGGCGAGGATCAGGAGGAAGAGCTGGCGATTGACTATGTGAGTTTGTAAATCAAGCTCAAATGGTTAAATTGAAATGGACAGTGTGGTGAAGTCGTTTTGCTTAACTATGAAATGCAATTATTTACCTAGGTAACCAAAGAAGTAAACAGCATGACTTTAAAAATGCCACATCAGTGTTTTATTGATGGCAAGTTCGAAGATGCAGAAGACACCAAGACCTATGATACCATTAATCCAACAGATGGATCTGTGAGTCACAGGACTACCTACCTACATACCTACCTTCTCCTTCTTTCTTTCTTGCTTCTTTCACTTTTGCTTTTTTCTTCCTGCGGACTTTACCTGTAGACATAGTTATATATTCTATAAAAAAAAAGCATTTTCCATACAGGTCATCTGTAAGGTATCCTATGCCTCAGTGGGAGATGTGGATCGGGCAGTGGCAGCTGCTAAAGAAGCTTTTGATAATGGACCATGGGGCAGGATGAACCCAAGAGACAGAGGAAGTCTGCTATACAAGTTAGTGGCTCCTGCACAAGAGTCAGTGAGAGGACGATCAGAAAAATCAGTCAGCCATAAATGCAGTTATTTTTCTGCTGCAGCACTCTCTCTAAAATAAATAGGCCAATTAGTCAAAACTGTGTACAGCTGGTCTGCTTAAATAAAGGGATTTAAGCAAGCTTTGAGACCTACTAACCTTAAAAAAGATAACATAAGAAATTAATTTATTTGTCCCTTAAAGGGGAAAATTGAGGAACAATTACTGCAGCTTTTGGCTCCCAAAATGGCATGACAATGAAAAAATAGTTATCATTTATCAGTGTCTGGCTAGACTTGTGAGAATTCAAAATAACCCCTTACTCTGTCTGACTCAGACTTGCAGATCTCATGGAGGAACATCAGGAAGAATTGGCCACAATTGAGTCCATTGATTCAGGAGCTGTGTATACATTAGCTCTCAAGACACATGTTGGCATGTCCATTCAAACGTTCCGCTACTTTGCTGGCTGGTGTGACAAGATCCAGGTAGGATACGTTTTGTTTCTTTTTTAACTGGAACACAAACAGGAGTTTTCCAAAAAATTTGTTCTTATAGTAAGATATGTGCCCATGCTGTTTTATTTTCTGTAAAGGGCAAGACCATTCCAATTAACCAAGCCAGGCCCAACCGAAACCTGACCTTCACTAAGAAAGAACCCCTGGGGTAAAGCTCCTTCAAAATTCTTATATCCTCCTCAAAAAACAATTATTATGGGGCTCTTTCTAATAAAAAATATGCTTCACTGAGTATGGACCTTAGTGTTTTGTTTTTCTGTGACAGGGTGTGCGCAATAGTTATACCGTGGAATTATCCTCTCATGATGCTGGCTTGGAAAAGTGCAGCCTGTCTAGCAGCTGGAAACACACTTGTTCTCAAACCTGCACAAGTGAGTACATTTGCATCCTGAAAACTACATTTTATAAAGTACTTAAATCCACAGTGGTAACTGCATTTTTTGTATTTATACTACCAAAGCTTTAGATTGTCAGATACAGCTTTGCTACTTTACTACAATTTTCCAGTCATATTTTTATTTCTAACTAGTGAAACACTCATTAAGTGTCGTTTTTAATTTTGATTGAATTTTTCTGATCTCTAAAGGTTACTCCACTGACTGCGCTGAAGTTTGCTGAGCTTTCAGTGAAAGCTGGAATACCCAAAGGAGTCATCAATATTTTGCCAGGCTCTGGTACTTAACATGAATGATTCACAAGAATATTTCTTGACAAAACATATATATTGGATTAAAGAACATTTAAGCAGGGCCGCAGCCGTAGCCTAATGGTTAGAGCGGGCGGCCCATATACAGAGCCTCTGCTCGTAAGCGGGCGGCCTGGGTTCGAATCCGAAACATTTAAGCAGTTTTCTGTTTTTTTTATAGTAATTGACTGCCTTTTCCTTTTTGTTTGCCATGTTCTATATGTTTTACTGTCGTGAACATATTTGAAGGCAAATCTCATTTGTAATCTTAAGGGAAAATACTACACAGTTGCATCAGATTTTAATGTTTTGCAGGCCAGCAGTGAACCCAGTTTAACTTATTCAACTTAAGTCTTTACAAAAAAATTAAGATTTTCTAAAACACAAACGTGTGTTGCTTGGGACATAATGTTTTTTTCCATCACAAGCTACTAGTGTTCTTCTTTTGGATTCGGTTAGCAGATATAAAAAAATGTAGAATCATCACTGACTAAATGTCTTGTATCGTCTCATTTAGGCGGAATGGTGGGACAGCGTCTCTCAGATCACCCAGACATTCGCAAGCTGGGGTTCACTGGCTCTACGCCAATAGGCAAACAGATTATGAAGAGGTAAGGTTAAACAGACTCTTTATTGACAAGTTGAGGTAGCTCATACATTCTATTTTGCACTCTATGGTTTTATTTTGCAGCTGTGCTCTTAGTAATCTGAAGAAGGTTTCTCTTGAGCTTGGAGGAAAATCACCTCTTATCATCTTCAGTGACTGTGACTTGGACAAAGCTATTAGAATGGTGAGAGGCCTTTTGCATGGTTTTTATTTATTTGTTTTATTTGTTACATATTATTAACCCAATACAAAAATAAATCTGAAAATTATTCATTACATTTGAGATTGAAAAAAACTAATAATGAAAACAGTATTACTCCAAATTATGTCTGTATTTGTATGTATTCTACTGCACAGGGCATGAGTTCCGTGTATTTCAACAAGGGTGAAAATTGCATTGCTGCTGGCCGTCTGTTTGTTGAGGAGTCCATACATGATACTTTTATCAGCCGAGTTGTAAGTAAAAACAGAACTATTACACTTTTCATCCATATTTTTATGTTGTACTTTGTCAGATGGCTAAATGTTAGAATTTGTAACTGAAAAGTACTTTATTATGATTTATTGCTTAAGGCATGTCTAATAAAATAGTGAACTTTCAAAAATCACCATTCACAACACTTGCAGCATCTTTACTATATACATAACAAATATCTTTCTACTGAAATAGTAAGAAGTGGCAGAGTGTAGAGGGCTAAATATAATCAAGTCAATAATTTGATTCCCCTCCCCTCCATCATGAATACTTTATTGTTCTCACAGTGGAGAAATGCATACTGTGATAAGAACAGTGGTCTAGTGAATGAGCCCAAAACAGCTATAACTCTATTCAACTGTTTATGTTACTATTCTGAATTTCATCCTGTAGGAATAGAGGGTGCAGAGACACATTTGAAGTTGTATACAAAAAGTTCAAATGCACAACAAAGTATTCCTTAAAGTAATTTCTCCATTTAGACCTCTCAAACCACCAAGATATTATTTTAAGGTAGAAGTTACATCTAATGAAAACTGACCATTTTTATTGAAAGCTGTTAAAACAACATTTTGTCATCTTTACCCACCATTGCCATCTAAGGTGGAGGAAATCAAGAAGATGAAAATTGGAGATCCTCTAGATCGCTCCACAGATCATGGCCCACAGAACCACAAAGCCCACTTGGACAAACTGCTGGAGTACTGTGAGACTGGTATAAAGGAGGGAGCAACACTGATCTGTGGAGGCAGACAGGTGAACAGGCCAGGTAAGATACACATTGAACCTCCTGCACACTACACTGGTGAATAATTATTTCCCCTTTTTTTATTAGTTACAAAATGACTGGCCTTTTCTGAATGGACAACTTAATTTCATTATCAGCTACTGTAATATTTTATATGAATCTTTCCCAGAAAAATTGGATTCTTGATCTTATGGCATTAACCTTATACTGTAGCTAATTCAATATTTTTGGTTATTTTCATTCAGGTTGTTTCATGGAGCCCACTGTTTTCACTAATGTGGAGGACCACATGTTCATTGCCAAGGAGGAGTCATTCGGCCCTATTATGGTGGTCTCAAAGTTCAAAGATGGGTAAGTCTAGGGTAAGTGCATCGTGCTGCAGAGCAGTCATGCAGTACATATTGCTAATCCCTCTTCGTACATCTTCTGGTCTTTTTCACCTCTCCATCCATCTTCCTCGAAACTCCAGTGATGTGGATGGTGTGCTTCAGAGAGCCAATGACACTGAGTATGGCCTGGCATCAGGCGTATTCACCCGTGACATTAACAAGGCCATGTATGTGAGTGAACGACTGGAGGCTGGAACCGTGTTTATAAACACATACAACAAGACTGATGTTGCTTCACCTTTTGGTGGTTTCAAACAGTCAGGGTTCGGCAAAGATCTTGGTTAGTGTATTAATATTATTTTTCATTTATATTTTAATTGGTATCATCACTGTTATTTGATTTAATTGAAATTGGCCTGGTAGATTTTTTGAAAATGTTGTAACAACGCTATTAACCAATTTTTTTTTCATAGGAGAGGATGCTCTCTTGGAATACCTCAAGACAAAAGCAGTTACTGTGGAGTACTGAGACTTAGACCTAGCCAGTGAATTCAGACGCACACCTCAACGGGAAACAAATAGTATGGTGCAAATTTTTTTCATACATTGTGTGCTAGTACTGCATTGAAAAACAGTTTGTTTGTTTTTTTACTTGAGAGCATGGTTGTGTCACAGATCAGAGGAAATGCCTGTCTTTTTTTGGTTTTCTCTGAAAATTCACATGATTTAGATTTGCTACTGTTTAGATTTGCTACTTATAAATCTGTTTGGATTTATAAGCAATAATTTATTTAGTGAACAAACGTAGGAGTTGGTTTAACATCCAGAGCAAAACATTCTTTTCTATCTACGGAAGCTCAAGTTTTTTGTTATTACCTGTATGGATTCAAGCAAGAGAAGTTTTGCCTTTCTCCTTAACTTGTGATTCTGCCATGATTTTTCCATAACATTTTCTTGGGGAACTGTAGAGATTGACATTGCATTTAATTTATGGACATACATTGATTTTGAATTCTGCCAATGAAACACAGAATAGTTGAGCTAAACGTTAAAAATGATTTATGAAATTTAGATTTCAGTCTTATGGAACAGCAGTTGTTTCAGAAACGACTCACTCTATGATCATTGATAAAATAATTGGTTAAGAATTGCAATGTTCAATAAATGTCCTGCTTTGGTGCTAAGATTTCTTTTGGTGTCATTACATAATATCAATCATCTCCATGAGACTTAATAGTCAGTAACTACATATTAATTTGAGTTAATATGTGGTCACTTCAATGTTTTATTTTCTTACACTCAATTTCTTGACTTGGTTGTCCACTAGATTATTCAAGATGCCATAGATGTCATGCACATTCTAGCAAGGTTTTTGAAATTTTGATAGATGTATTGTAGAAAATATAAATAGTAAGTTGTAATCAGCTAGTTTGAGAAAGAAATGGCATTAATTAATTAACTTATTTTTCACTATATAAAGATTACAGAATATATTAACTTTTTTGATACCCAATACATGATTGTAAAAAAAATAGGATTGTGGGCTGTCTCTTGATCTCCATCTGTACTTTGCATAATACATGTATTTCTCACAGTTTCTTCAAACATCCTAACTGTAAACATTCATTCTCTTTCCAATGCCAAATTTGACTGTAAATATTGCATTTTAAAATTGGATAAAATGAGGATTTCATATATTTTTTAATCTTTATTTGTCATAAGAAGATTTATATATTTTAACAACACATTGTATTCAGTGACGACACTCTAGGTAGACTTTTTATAAGTATTTCAAATTTGCTCTGTGAAATGGAAGCAGGGGCAATGAAGCAAGTATTGTATCTTTCATTGTCCAGTGAAATAGAGAGATCTTTATAATGTATATTCTAAATAAAGCTATCTTCTTTCTGCAATCTATTTTGGGAATAAAAAATGTTTTTTATTTATTTGTGTAGAGCTATTTTTACTTTTTAAATTTGTTAATATGGAAAGAAATTGGGACATATTTGCACTCCTTTCAAGATTTGATCATGTCTGTCCATGCACTGCACAGTATATTTAGACAGATTGATTACATGTTTTTAACTGTTAAATTATTTAGAATGGTAGATGGTAGACATTTCCATTTACAAACAAAGAAAAATAACTGATCAGAGGTTTGACTAAAACATGCACTTTATCCATTTTTGGAACTTTTTTTTCCTTAATGGAGTTGCTGGGGGACATTCTAGTAGTCAATGGGCGAGAGGCGAGTCCATCGCAGGGCCACACAGAGGCACACAAGGACGAACAACCACGCACAGTCACTCCAAGTGGTAATTTGGAATGTCTAATCAACCTAACATCACGTTTTTGGACCATAGGAGGAAGCCAGAGAACATGCAAAGTCCACACAGAAAGGTCCTTTTCCCCCCCCGGGACTCAAACCCAGAACCCTCTTGTTGTGAAGAAATAGCAGCTAAACCACCATGCAGCTAAACATGCACTTTATTTCAGAAAAATTATTTTTACATTAAATTGATTAATTGTTCCAACAGTTGACAAGAGGCAATCTGTGCATGCATACAAAGAATAGGACTGGAACGCTTAAAACCTTACAAGTACGAGTGCACTTGGAGTCAAATCAGTTAAGAATACTGTGTGACATTACTTATGGAAATAAACTTTTTTTTTATTGAGACTAAATATGATCATATCAAAAAAGTGTTTATCAAAATATTTTATTAACCAATTTTTTTGTTTAAAAAAAAGGGCCCGTGCTTGATTTGTTGCTTGAAAAGTTTTATTAGTTGTATCTTTCTTGTCAAAGCAGTCAACCGATAATTTAATTTAGCACACAATATGCCATCTGATTCAGATAAAAACTTTCCTTAATCCATGTCTGGATACCCAACTGCACTTCTCTTTTAACTTCAATATGACATGTCCTTATTGTCCCATTTGAAGGTTTAAAATGGCCTGATCGAAATTATTTTAAAACCTTCACTACCACGGCATATTAGAAATTTAAGTTTTGGCCTGGGACCGCAAACATTTGAAGAATAAACAGTTTGGACGGTGGACGAATATTTGCTTGGGAGGCTGCAGACTGGTAAAATCTTACTGTTGCTAAGTGTTGCTAAGAAATATTCCATCCATCCATTTTCCACCTCTTATCCGGAGTTGGGTCGCGGGAGCAGCAGCCGAAGCAGGGAAACCCAGACTCCCTCTCCCCCGCCACTTCTGCCAGCTCCTTCGGGGGTGTCCCAAGGTGTTCCCAGGCCAGCTGAGACACATAGTCCCTTTTAAGATGCCCGAGCCACCTCAACAGTCCACAAAACACATGTGGACTGGTTGGGCAAACTCCCATGCACATCCAGGATCTCACTGAGGGTAAAGAGCTGGTCCTGTGTTCCACGGCCAGGACGAATGCTCCCCCTGAATCCAAGGTTCAACTGTCTGACGGACCCTCCTCTCCAGAACCGCTGAATAGACCTTCCCAGAGAGGCTTAAGACTGCGATTCCCCTGTAATTGGAACATACTCTACGGCCCCCCTTTTTGAATAGGGGGACCATCACCCCAGTCTGCAAATCCAGTGGAACTTCCCCTGACGTCCACGCGATATTGCAGAGTCGTGTCAGCCAACGCAACCCTACAACATCCAGAGCCCTGAGGAACTCCGGCCGGATCTCATCCACTCCCACAGCCCTGCCACCGCGGGGCTTTTTAACCACCTCGGTGACTTCAGCCCCAGAGATTGGAGAGCCCAACTAAGGATCCCCAGGCTCTGCTCCTCTGATAAAAGACGTGCCAGTGGGATTGAAGAGGTCTGCCCATCGACCCAAAATAAATATTTACATACACATTTCCAAGCATACTATACACACTGCGTTTGATTTATTGTTATATATCCATTTTGTCCTTTGTCTCTTTGTATTGATTTTTTTTTTTCTCAAAAGGAATAAGAACACTCTGCAAGTCTCCACAAAAGAGCTTTCTGTTTACTGTATTTTTGGTCTGTCAAGAAGAACGGAAAATTCGGTGGGGTAGTTTTTTAAAATAACACCTCGTGTAAGAAGAAAGAAGCAAAAGTCTGTCTGCCTGCATCATTTATTCTCCTTCTTATTCCAGAACTTTGATGTTTGCCATCTTCTTTTTTCCCTTGTGTCCTGGTAGTTTGAGGTTCTGTTCAGTGATTTCACTGGCACCACTGTCAGAGTCCAAATCCTCGCCACAGTCTGTCACCTCTCCATCATCTTCAGAACTGCTGTCTGACCCATGAAGTTCCACCAGAGCAACATCCTTGTGACATGACAATGAAATCACATAACTTGGTCAAATCCTACAGCAAAATAAGGTTAAAAGAAGAAAAATGATGGCTGTAAAATGGTAAATTGTACAGTATAGTACAGGCCAATGGGAAACCAAGTAAAAAAAAAAAACCAAGTAAAAAATAATACACACTGCAAACACCAAAACTTCAACTTTCCTGAAGGTCCTGAATTATCTATTTCATCCAGTCACTCAGCTAAAGCTTTCCGAAACTGTATTACCTGCTCTCTATCGTTCAAGTTTGCTTTGTACCACCTACCTGAACTCTATGTTTCCCTAATTTTATGAATTTCCTCTTCATCTATTAAAAAAAAACATTTTATTCAATATCTCTCTTCTTCATGAGATACTGTACTTCTATAATTACAATGCTAGATATTTATACCAGCCCATTTTAGCATTTTCAGTACTCCCTTCATACATGGCCCCATTGTAGTCATTGACTCTAAACATGCTTGGTGTGGTGGTGGCCTTAGAGTTTTTCGGTAAGATATGGAATGTTTGCATGAGTCCTGGAAGGCATGCCAGAGGTGGCAGTGGAGAGGGAGGTGTGAGCAACTCTGGAAATAATAATAGCCCAACAACCCTACAATAAAAATAAAACATGCATACGTTGGAGGGCATTCAGAGCAACTCGTAGAGCAAAAGCACTTTCTTTCCCTAACTGAATCAAAACATCCCTGTGAGATGCAAACAGCAGTCCAAAACCCAATCAGATCTGTGTAATTCTAGATTGGTGCTTCAAATAGTTGAAAGAAAAGATTGACCTGCCAATCTTCAAAAAGGGAGGATAAAAGCTTTACATCCTGTGCGAGATTCACCCGTGTTTAGTGCTTTTTAATACATCTCTTGGTATAGAGTGTCATGTTTTATAGTTTTTAAAGAGTAGTAGCACTCACCATCTCTATGATCCTTTCTGCCTCCTCCACACACTCTATGTCGAAGTGTCCAGCCGGAGCTTCATCAATTTGCTGCTTCAGTTTCTCATTGGCCTGAGCTATCTGAGGCAGAAAGTTTTGCAGCCGCTCCAGCACTGATAGAAAGACAAATTGAACAAAAAAAAAATAACCCTGACATTCATAGAGTTATAACTAGTAACAAGGTAGAATCTGAGTTCCCACCGCAGCTTCTCGGAACTTTCTCGGTCTGTAACGATCTGCCAGACTTTGGTGTGAGGAGAAGCTTCTCACTGAGTCCTAGTGGCACACCAAACAAGTTAATGACATTTTGAAACAGAAAGACCATTAAAAAATCTACCAGAACGGTAAATGGATCCATTCATGTATAAATGAAGACTTAAAACATTTGAGATGAAAGTAACAAACTGACCAGAGGTTGAAAGAGTAAAAAAAGAATAGAAATATAGTTGCTTTATCAAGATCCTGGATTTTGATATGACTGCAGCTCTGTTATTAAGAATATTTTTAAAACATAATAGCCACAGATCTACTTGTTTCCACTCTAGAAAGGTGGCCTCCCACCTGTCTTTCTTTGAACCGTCTACAGTGACTTGAAGACAGATTTCTGAAATATTATTTTATGCCAGTTTAAATGTTGTGCTGCCTAAACAACATCTTTTAGTAACTTTGAACATATTACATATCTTTTTACATATGTATAGTTTTTATGCAAAGCCTCTTCAATTATGATGGGTTTAAAAAAAGATATCTAGCATGCAGAGATAGAATACTATTGAACAAGACTTATTACTACAGCAACATCAACAATAAGACATTAATAACATTGTACAATTTCACTGAATCGATAAAGGAAATGAGTGCAAACACTGGAATATGCACCAGGGTACACTTAAAAAAATAGAGAAAAAATGTGGGACAGATTAAAAGACATGTAAAGATGTAAAATGGGACGTCATATAAATGACAAACGTTTACAGCCCACAGCTGTATCTGGGAACCCTTGAAGGTCAACATTTTACCCGAAAAAGCTTAAGTAAAATTAATTTCTAATAACTCAAAGTAACAGGACACATTTTCGAAACATATAACAAGAAAACGGGCTAGCATTTTTTTTAAGTGCAACATAAATCAAGATCCGTTGTCATTCAGACATTTCCATATTTAACAAGAAAAAATCTTCAAACCTTCACCTCTGCCACATGCCAGTAAATCTTGAGAATTTGTTTTCTTTGTAATTAATTCCATTTTGGGAAAGGCACGTCTTAGTTCACAGCAACATGTGCAAGGTCAAATCAACATCCGGTTCAAAGGTAACGAGGGTTTGACAATATATTTTATACACCGCCCTCTAGCGTTATGAGTAAACTCCAAAACGTTTGACACCCGGCTTTAAATGTACAAGCTCGTAAACTTGGTTTTCGGTTGATATTATCAATTGTGTTTGTTGTTTTCTCAAACATTTCAAAATTATATATATATTTTTTAACATTCTCACAAACAACTACAGACAACAGCTTATAATCGTTATTAGAAAAAAAGAGAAGACGTTTAAATAATGTATCAGCCGAACACAGTATTTTCAAAACAGGTCATCGTCTTGTTTGACGATCTTTGATATTACCATTTGCTCTGACGCAGAGAACTCTGTCTGACTTGTCTAGGAAGACTTGCATCCTGGTTGGAATTCCTCTCAAGGTAACTTGTGGAAAACAGGAGAGAAAAAACACAGGGGAATTATTGGCTATATCTAGCTCTTGTTATCCAGCCAATAATTTTGCCTTGCTGTCTCCTGCTTCATACACAATGTTGAGCAGTCTGGCAGCATATCTGATTCTTACTATTTCTATTGCTATACAGCTAGCTAGCAGCACTGTTTTATTTAGCTTATACGGTTAACAAAACCATGTGTTTTTCGTCTTTAGATTAATCAGTTGTTATTTTCTTGTGCAATTTGTTGTGGTTACATAATAATACTACAAAAGAATAATCGAGATTGCTTGATGTTTCAGCAACAATAGCTGGACAAAATAGTTTTCAGCTTCAAACAGTTGAATGAAATGCACATATTAAAAAAAACACTCTCAAGGTTAAATGCTTCCCCTCGTTCAAAAAAAATCTGTCTTCCCTGGTAATCTTCCGGCTTAATTAAAGATGTATTTTGGTATACTAAAACTTCTGTATGTAAAATAATTTGTCAGTAATCCAAAAGTGATTGAAAGTTAGTTAAACTGGTTGTATATTTGCTGTTGCTTCAGACTGTTTTGGTTTTATTCTTTTTGCCCAAAATAAGAAATTTAATCATACATTTTCCTTCCACTGACGCATACCTGAAGACATTAAAAGCACGGATGTTGCAACAGAGCCCCTTTGGATGGATCGTTTAGTTTGCCTTCTGATTGGATGAAAAGAAATGAGCCACTGCAGTCAAGGATCCCAGCATGAACATCCAGAATTTTGGAGGAGCTTTAGGAGAGTCCCTTGGCTCTAACCTGCATATGAATGGGGCAGGTAGTTGGTGGAGTGCCTTCTCCCTGAAATCTGTGCCCTCAATGCATACTGCCTCAGTTTTCCAAACCATGGTCCCCACTGGTTATACAAAATTACAGGAAGAACGGTTGGCTATGGTGGATTTAGGAACTAAACCTGACACTTGTTCGCTACAGAATGGCTATAGACAGGACACCTCTCACATAGAAAGTAGACGGATTCTTGACCGGACCTCTCGGTCCTCTCTAACTTTATCTGACTCTGGAGATGGAGGGTACGCTGAGACAGAGCCCATGCTACCTGAGAGGAGATTCTCTCATGAAGATGCAATCGAAGATAAGGAAGAAGAGGAGGAGGAGGAAAGGCTGGGGTTAGATGTGCTGAATATGCCCAAGGAGTCACCGCTTGCTATGGCATTGCAGATTTTGGTGCCTTTCCTTCTTGCTGGATTTGGAACAGTTTCAGCTGGGATGGTGCTCGATATTGTGCAGGTAATCTTGGGTTTAACAAAACATTTATTGTTCAATACTTGTGACAGCTGCTAGTTATACCCACAATTTACTGCAAAAAAAGTGCATCTATTAATATTTTTCTCTGTATGTACTAAGAGATATTCATTTTCAATTAGAATCTGCATCTGAATTTAACAGTTCTTTTTTTACTCTATCAACTTTGGCCCAATGTTGGGACTGTGGCAACAAAAAAAAAAAATAGAATCAAACAATCACAGCCCTGAAATTACATTAGTTTAAGGCCAGTAGATATAAAGAAAGACACCCTTAGGAATCAAATGCTTTTATCAGACAGCTGTTAACAATTAGATTACTCTTCACAACTGATATTCACTAACAATTTAATCTCAAAATACTCTTAATTAAATGAACGCTTCTATTACTTTATCCCCTTCATCCTTTCAAAAATTGGTCACTTGAAAAATTCTTTACTCGATTTACAAATGAAAAAAGTTAAGTGAGAGCATTGGATATTTTTTACATTAAATCCTACCCCTGCACTCAGCTACTCAAGTAAATACTCCTTGCAGTAAGCCCTATTATCTTGTTATTTAAATTTGTTAGTTTATTTTGTTATTTTTATTTCTCCTTTTTACTCAGGTTTTTAGGTAACTCCATAGCACTGAGACAGCCCTTGTGAAAGTGACAAATAACCCACTACTATGAGCAATTGAAAGAGATTGTTTTATCTTGATTATCTGAAGTCAAAGTGCCAACTCTGATATTGTTGATCACAATCGTCCAGGATTAGTATTAAGAATTCCTCTTTTATCATATTGCAATCATTTCTAATATCCATATTCTATTAGTACAGACTTCGGAGTATGGTGTAGACCTGCTCTTTATGAAAAGCGCTGTGAGATACCTGTTGTGATTTGGCCTTTTTAAATAAAATTGAATGAATATTCAAGCAACACATATTTAAGCCCAGCTATGTAAAAACAAGAGATATCAACTAATTTACGTAGTATTGGAATAATAATGCCAATGATTGTGAGGTCAATAGGATGTGAAAAAAAATAGTATAAATTATATGTCTGCAGCACTGGGAAGCATTCCAGTACATCACAGAGATCTTCATTTTGGTACCAGCTCTCCTTGGCCTAAAGGGAAACCTGGAGATGACCCTGGCTTCAAGGCTGTCTACAGCAGTGAGACACACTCTCACATTAACACCGACACTACCTCTCACTATAGGCATTTCATGCGAGTGTGGTCTCTGCATGCTACAGAAAAAACATTACTATACAGGAACAAGATAGTTTTGATTTGAAAAATTTGTTCCACTTCAGCTTAATTGACAGAATGTTTGTCTATTTGTGACGAGAGGACCTTTCCACTTCCGCTGTTGTGAAAGGTATATGTTTGGAAGAGTATTTTTTCTTGTTGTTGGTCTTTGCTGTCTCAGCTCCCAGATGAAATGGTAATGACTGCATTTACAAGTTAGGTTACTTTAACAAAACAAGCTATGTTTGCAGTTACCCACTCCTTCTTTCTGAGTCATGGACACCCATGTGCCACCTTCCAAGTCAATAATACAGCCCCATGCACTTTGTTGATAGAATAGGGAGAAAAACAAAAAAGTATGCTGGAGTGGAATACTGATCTTATTGCTTCATGTTAGGTGTTTGCTGCACTAAATAGTATTATTTTCCAAGAGTTTAATTGGTAATAATGTATGGGAATCTTCAGTGAATTTCGGTGACATGGTGACATTCTGGTCATTACTGTGCATGTCTATTGTGTTATCTCGTAATGGACATTAGGTGCTGTTTTTAATAAAATTTTGACTGAGAATTGAATCCACTATTTAAATAAGGGACAATTTTAAAAACGGTCAAATATAATTAGAATCTTTTCGGTATCTCTTGAGGAATGGTATCTTGTCTATGGTAAGGTAGTTGTGATAATGTAATCATGCTTAGTATTGGCTACTTATCATTTCTAATAAGGCCAAATGTTTGGGCGATTGACTTGGAACGATGACAGCATTGTTCAGTGGTTAGAAATGTAGGAAATTTTGGTGCAGTGGTTCCCTCTGTTAAATGTTTATTTTACTTTTTGCAATCTCTTTGATATTTTGTACATGGGTGCTCCCTGAATTTGTTACTCATGTACTTCAACATTTTTTAAACTTTGAGGTTATAGGGAGGGTAAGTTGCAATTATTTATTCATTTATTTATTTATTCATTTTTGTCATTTTACCCTTGTACCCTTCAACTTAGGTAAATGTGGGTAAGATGGACTCTCCAATTGAGAAGTGGAATCTAATCATAGGCAACCTGGCACTGAAGCAGGTAATCACACTGAGTCAATGGTTTCAATCTATTCAGTGTTTTTTTTTCATGTGAGGGCTTCACTTTTAAAATATACATAACTTTGATACTTTGTTTTTTACCTGTTTTCTCTTTTAGTAGCCACATATGAATGATTAAATAAACCTGTTTGGACCTGTAGTCCATGCGAGTCTAAAAAGCAAATTATTTTGATCTAATTTCCACATTGAATCATACAAAAATATTCTGATTTAATTTTACTATTGTCTTAATACAAATTGTAACTGACAGTAGCGATTGTTTTGAATTTGATGGCAAAGCATACTCAGACTGTTTTGCTGTGGCCTGTACTACGAAGCGGGTTTAACACCATATCAGGGTAACTTCGAGGTAACTTGCTCACATGAATAACTTCCCGACTAACTGGAACTACGAAACGTGCATAGGTTTGATCAAGGTATCCTGCCATGACAATTTACTCCACCTCTCAAACCTGGGCTGAGCAGGTTATGTTTATGGTTATAACTTCAGGTTTCCACTTAACCACTCCCTTTATAACTACCGCCCCTCCACCAACAGTTTCTCGGAAAACAATGCCATCATGCCTGGATGATCCGTCTGATACTAGCGCACAAATTGTAAGGGGCTCTGCGCAGAGCGAGGGTCTTTAGCGACCGCCAGAATCTGATATTTTGCCAATGGATAATATCTGTATTCCATCCATGATGCTGAACATCTGAACAAGAATACTGTGTGTCATATGATCCACAAGGCACTTGCCTGATAGATGCAATTGTCTTTTCCCTGATTTGTGGTTTTACCTGAGTCTGTTATCAATGTGTCTTTTACAAGATATAGTCATCACACAGCATTGGTAAATTTTCCACCACAACAACCTTTGTGGTGGAAATAACAAATGATATGGTTTGAGAGATGTGTAAGACTTAAAAAAAAAATCTCAACTTCAATTTATCTACTTTCAAAACACCATATAATACAGCGAAAAGGTCACAGGACAAGGACAACATTTGTAAAACTTTGTACAAAAATATCAAAGTCAACTTTACAGTCCTGTAGGTTGTTCTGCTTTAGAAATTACAGTTGCAATGTTGTTTAAATGGCATTTGTTAATATCAAGTCAGAAAAATATTTTAAAAGTGAACAATTTGTCTCGTAATCCAAGTTCAGTCTTTAAACTACACACATTTAAATTCTGAAGCTCCTTTTTATTCATCTTTTCCCTTGCCGTAATGTAAAAAGGACCCACACAGAATAAATGTTTTGATAATTTTTCCTTCTTCTCCCTTTCCTGAAAATCAGTGGGGAAATTAACTGTGGTACACACAATGAAAGTAGGCTGAACAAATTAAGGAAATCTCATTTAAAGATGAGACAAGATGGAGTTATTCATCTTTGTGTAATTGATTAATACAAGATATGACTTTAAACTTACCACTCTGAAGGATGTTGTAGTATTTCATCTTCACCTTCTGCCACATGCGTTTGGCACTGCTTCTGCATCTGAAATATTTGCAGGATTTGGAATATGGTCGAACACTCATACAGTCAAGTAGTCCATTTAGGAATTATTAACCTTACATTTAGCTATGCCCACAGCTTCCTTCTGTTGCATCAAGTCATTATACCGGAATTTGAATTTAATACATTTTAGAGGTTGATAATCGATGAAGATTTGGTTAGCACCATTGCCTCTTAGCAAAAGGGTTCTGGTTTCGAGTCCCGGCCGGGAGACTCAGGACCTTTCTGTGTGGAGTTTGCATGTTCTCCCTGTGCCCGTGTGGGTTCTCTGGCTTCCTCTTACAGTCCAAAAACCTGCATGTTAGGTTGATTGGACATTCCAAATTGCCCTTAGGAGTGAGTGTGAATGTGGATGATTGTTTGTCCTTGTCTGTCTCTGTGTGGCCCTGCGATGGACTGGCGGACCATCCAGGGTGTACCCCAGTGTGCCCATGGGCTCCGGTTCTCCCCGCGACCCGATTAGGGAATAAACTGTAACGATAATGGATGCACGGATGAATTAAGACACAGAATGAAACCAAAATAGAGGAGGAAAAATAACACCTTTGGTTTTTTGCAGTCAATGTTTCAGATTTCCCCTTAAGAGTTTTTTCATATCTTTGTAATACTGCATTATGATTAAATCCTCTTAAGTGAAAAAGGGCCATCGCGCCATCATTGAGAATTGCGTTTTATGTGAACGTGCACACACTCCAGTTAAGTTAGCGCAGGTTTAACAAATCAACCTCATAACCAGCTTCGTAGTACAGAGTTACTCAAAATTAGCATGCATGGGTTTGTCAACCCTGGTTTAGAGGAATAACCCTGGGTTACATCTGAGTAAGTTAACCCTGCCTCGTAGTACAGGCCCCTGGACTCTGACTGTGCAGTCAAATAGATGAAAATCTCTGCTAATCATCTACTCACACAACAACAAATGCATCACATCACAATCAGCATTACAGTTTAAAGATGACCTGTCTTTGGTATAAGTTTCAATGTCATTTGTCATTGTTTGTCAAAATCATATAAAGTATTGCACACTAGGAATTTCAACCTACTTCTTTGTAATATTGTGAGATTTATCAAAGCAATGTTTTTTTGCATTTTAATGTTTGTTTCAAATGTCTCTTTACTCGAGGTTCAGGCAACTGTTGTGGGTTTCCTGGCAGCTGTAGCAGCAGTAGTTCTTGGCTGGATTCCAGAGGGGAAGTTTCAGATGAGCCATGCTGTTTTGCTGTGTTCAAGCAGCGTGGCGACAGCCTTTATAGCTTCCATGCTGCAGGGTAAATATACTCGCGAACACTAAAAGCACACTCGCATAGCTCAAGATAATCCGTTAATTGTGTTGCTTCATGCTTCCATTAGATTAAATTAAATTCAGTTCAATTTAATTTATTTTGGTTTGATGACAATTTAGGTGACAACAAATAAACAGAGGTGATTTAAAATCTAACAGCATACAGTTACCTAGAGTCTAGTCAAATACTTTTTTTTTTTTATTTATGAATTCCATACTGTAATTTTGATTGATCTCATATACATTTAGGACAGGGTTAGGGTTGCAAAAATGTTTGTTAATGACCATGATCAATGTTTCCCACAAACTTCATGTCATTTTCAGGTATAATCATGGTTGGGGTAATTGTGGGTTCCAAGAAGACAGGCATTAATCCAGACAACGTAGCCACACCTATTGCAGCTAGTTTTGGTGACCTCATAACACTGGCGATCCTGGCCTGGATAAGTCAAGGCCTCTACAAGTGCTTAGGTATGCTAAATATTACTTTGTTCTTTGTTTCCAAGCTAATTACAAATTAATTTAAAGGGGACATATTATGCAAAACCAAGTTTTTAATCATTTGATTATGTACATTTGGGACTATGGAGGGCCTATCAGCAGGCAAAGTGTGAAAAAAAAAGACTTGGTCATATTTTTGTGGGCTGCCTCAGTCTCAATAATGGAGATAAATCAGGAGGTTTCAGGAATAGGTTGTTTATGACGTCATTAGCTGTAGCTCATTATAATATTCCAGCCTTTCATCTGCATGTTGCCACCCACCTCAGCTTATTCTGCCTATCTGTGGCAGACGTTGTGGTAGCGTTAGCGGGCCGGCGTCGGCACACCTCCCGGAAGAAGTGGGTGGATTGCCTGTGTCTCATTTGCATTTAAAGAGACAGGCACTCAAAACCAAGCACTCTGAACGAGGCTGTTTTGGCAGGGTCATTGAACTGCTATTGTGCTTCATCCTTATGGTATTTTGACCAAAGCTTGTCACAGACATTACATTAGGACACCAGGGAACTAGTTTAACTTGTTGAAATAGGGTATAATATGTCTCCTTTAAATTACATGATTCAATCATTAGACACAAGTGATCTTCTGCCCTTAAGTAAGTGTGTGATATGTCAGTAGACCTGATTTTTCTTTTCTGTTGTGAGAGCTCATTGATGATTCCCGTCTTTTGTTATAGTTTTACAAATATTAATGGAAAAGCTGTTTTAATTTCCCAAACCTTTAGAATTTCCTATATTTTATTTACCCACAGAATATATTACTATTCTACAATGGTTTATTGTAATTTTTGTCAAGGCAAAAGTAAAAAAGCTGATATGCCAAAATTTTTGCTGCAATTGAATTAGATCACTAAATGGCACGTGTGTAACTATTTGGCTGAATAAATGCAAATGACAAGAGGCTGAATATTTAGAATATCAAACAGTGGAGACATCCTTGGTAGTACTTCTTTTATAGATTTTGTTCTAACATGATGTAAATAATTTATCTTGATACAGCAGATTTAATTGATTTTAAAGTGAGTTATGATTGATTGATGCCAATACATATTTTAATTAGTCCTCAGTCAACACTCAAGGAAAAATACTGCTTCCTTTTGATGACTTATATATGTTGTTTTATGAAAAGAATAAAGCATATTAAGCATGCAATGTCATAACTTTGTACTGTCCAGTACAGTAGATTGCCATGACATATTACCGCCAGTGATAACAGCTGATATCTTAATGTATCTTTAGAATGTGGTACAACAAGATGATTTCTATGCCTAGAATGATCTTGAGGCTAGTTATTTGCTTCTTGTGAGCCTCTGTAATTAGATATTGCCCTCAGTTTGCCAGTAGAGGTCCCTCCTGCCTCGCATTGTTGCAATCCTTATTCTACATCCCTTCTCCCAACACCTTTTTTAACAAGTTTTAATTCATGCTACAATCAGTCCTGGGATTCACACACTTTCCATTTTTACCTCAAATATTAATATATATTTTTTCATTCTGACCGTGTCAGGTTTTAATGATCAATTAATCTGACATGGTATACAATTATTTAGTAATAAACAGCATCTTATTGAAAGTAACAATCCAATAACTGGTCTTAAATTTATAAAGCAAACAAAATTTTGTATTTCTGTGTCATGGAGGGGCAGTGAAAGTGTATGTTGAATTGAAATTTAAAAAACGCTTTATTCATCCCAAAGGGAAGTTATATTGTTGTTGTTATTTTTAAAACGATCACTACAAACTGTTATTATATTGCTGGCGGGAGGGACATCCTGTATTTTTCATTTTGTAATTGGAGCTGAAAAAGCTTCCAACTGGTTAGAGTCAACCACAATGGTCTGTTTTGCGCTTAATGTTATAACCAACTAATGAACCATTCATCTTTTAACAATCAATTCAAGTTTCTGCAGATCTTTCCCCTGTTTCCACAGAGCCATCTTTTTTATAAGTTAGTTTCGTTGTATTTTTTTGTTTTTTTACATGGGCTCTGATGATGCTGTCTACACAGTTAACTGCAAATAAGATTGCATTCTTGATCACAGACTTATCTAGGCTTTGCAACATGTTGGCATGGACATTGAAAGACCCTCTTTTCTTCAAGAAGTGCAAATGGGTTTTTTTACTTAATTGAAATCATAATTTGAAAACTTTTTTTGCATTTAGTAAGGTTATATGTATTTCAAGTCAAATTTGTTTGAAAATGTTCAATTTTGACCACAAATTGGGGTCAATACTGTAATTTCAATGTTTAAAACTAAACTGTAGAAGAAGAGAAAGAGCATTTTTAAGGAAATTTTAAAGTTGTGGTTCAACTCCCTGCTTCCCCAGTCCACATATCCTTGGGAAAACCACATTGCCTTTCGATGATTCTATTGGTGTATGATTGTGAATTTGAGGGGGTAAAAAGCCCAGTGTAGACTAACACATAGACTAAAACTTGCTGTAAATGTGAATGGTTGAATGTGCTTTGTTGTGTAAAGGCAATCTCAGTGGTCAGGGAGAATTTAGAAGAGTGAGTACAGGCTGTTTCCCAATTTTGTAGAAGATTGCTGTTTTTGTTGTTATATTTCCCACACACAGTACTTTTGTTATCATACAATACAAATAGAGGGGCTGTTTTAGTAATTTATTAAATCAGTCTTAACAGGGAAATATCAAACAGTTTTTTGCAAGATTGCTGTTGCAAAAACAGCAATCTGAGGACCCAAATTCTGTTTCCATACATTACGAGCACTTTTTAGCAAAAGGAGATGTTTAGCAACTTTCATGGCCTACCCTTACTGTTAAAACAGTTAAAAAATCATTTAAAAAATAACATTAATTTTATTTTAAGTATACCAGTTATTTATATGTACAGTTTAATTAGAAGGAGAATATTTGATTGACTGTTCGCCTCACAAAAGTTTGAGTTCCTGGCGGACTCAGACTTTTTGTTTTGAGTTTGCATGTTCTCCCTGTGTCTATGTGTTTGTGTGAGTTCCCTCCGAGTACTCCGGCTTCCTCCCACAATCCAAAAACAGGCATGTAAGGTTAATTGGACATGAAAAATTGTCACTAAGAGTGAAGGCATGCGTGTGTGTGTGTGTGTGTGTGTGTGTGTGTTGTTGTTTGTATCTGTTTCACCCTGGAAGCACTGGCGACCTGTCCAGGGTGTACCCCGTCTCTCACCTATTGTCGGCTAGGATAGCCTCCAGCCCCTCTACAACCCTGTTGGGAATAAGCAGTATAGAAAATGGATAATTGGCTTTCCAAATTTCCTCTTTTTGTCTGGTAGGAAATATCTGGTGGTGGCTTCATGTTTTAATCAACTGGGGTCTTTGAACTGAACTGATATTCTTTCTTTAGCCAAAGATGTATAGTGAGATAAATTTTGTGTGCACATTGTGGTGCATATTTCTCCCTTGTCTTGTAAAACAATAAATACTACTTTAGCCAGTACATAATTTCTATCTGAAAAAAATATGTATATACCACAAAAATAATTCATTCCTATATTATTCTATATAGGATCAGATGACTGATGAAATTAATTTCAAAATGGAAAAAAATATATAAATCATTTTGTAAGAATTGTGACTAAAACCAACTGGATACTGTTGACAGGTCTGAAATTTCTTTGAGACTCAGAGAAGCAAAATTACAGTTTCAGTGTCTTCATCATTTCTAGACTCCTATCCTTATGTGTCGTCGTTGGTTTGCGCCTTCTTTATGTGTTTGACACCTCTGTGGATCGTCATCTCCTCCAAACACCCTGCCAGCCGCACTCTTCTCTACTCTGGATGGGAGCCAGTCATCACTGCCATGGTCATCAGCAGGTGTGTATGTGGGTGTTTAGTATTAAAGCAGAAAGAGCCACTATTTTGTGTCTGTCTCTTACAGAGTCTGGCTTGTTTGATCACTCGTATAGTAAACAAATTGCAGCACTCTGACACGCATGCTCTGACCCTTTTGGCCTTACTGTGTCAAATAATAAAGCATGTACTAAGAAAGACACTCCACCCACTTTCGGGTGAGGACCATTGCCTCAGATTTGGAGGTGCTGCTTCTCATTCCAACCACTTTATACACGGCTGTGAATCACGATCCCGGCCCGATGGAGTCAACAGAACGACATAATCTGCAAAATGCAGATATCCAATCCTGAGGCCACCAAACTGCATTCCCTCAACGGCCCGGCAGCGCCTAGAAATTCTGTCCATATAAAAGTCATGAACAGAATTTGTGACAAAGAGCAGCCTTTGCTGAGTCCAACCCTCATGTTATACAAATACAACCTACAATGTGGATCAAATTCTGTCACCAATCGTACAGTGACCGGACAGCTAAAAGAAAAGGGTACTGTACTCCATAGTCCCTGAGCAACCCAAACGCAGATGCCTTCTCCAAGTCCACAAAACACATGTAGACAGGTTGGGTGAACTCATATGCCCCCTCCATGACAAGAGGGTTTAAAGTCGGTCCACTGTTCCATGGCCAGGAAGAAAACTGCACTGCTCCTCCACCAGTTAGGATTTGATTATCCCACGGACTCTCCTCTCCAGGGCCACTGAATGAACCTTAACTGGGAGCCTACGGAGTGTGATCCCCTTTAGTTGGAACAAACCCTGCGGTCCTCCTTCCTAAAGAAGGGGACCACTAACCCAGTTTGCCAGTCCAGGAACCAGAAGGTCATCCACTTTCTGGGTCCTGCCACTGAGGAGCTTTTTGGCGATCCCAGCCCCTGTGAGATCCCGGATGGTGGACAAGAACCTCTTCAAAGCCATTTGGTAGTCATTCGCCATGCTCCTCCTATGTCCGAGTTTTTGCCTCAGCAAAACTGCCGAAGCCCTGTTCCAATTGGCCTGCCAATACCTGTCAGCTGCCTCGGGAGTCCCAAAAGCCAAAAAGGCCAGATTTGTTGTTCAACTTGACAGGACCCCTGACTTCTACCGCCACAACAGGCACCAATGTGTTTGCAGCCACAACTCCAGTCAGCCACCTTGACAAGAGAAGTGCCCACTCAGATTCAATGTCCCCTATTTCACTGGAAGATGGAAGTTGATGGGAACCTCTGCCACGTCTGCACCGAAATCCCCCAGCAGAACGAGAGTCACCAGGAGGAGTGTTCTTCAACAATCCATCCAGGGTCTCCAAAAAGCAGCAATCAGGACCAAAGCACCCCACCTACAGGCGGAGGGAGGCTACCCTTTTGTCCACCGGCGCAAACCCCAACGTACAGGCAACAAGCCAGGGGGCAATAAGTATGTCCACACCCGCTTAGCGCCTCTCACAGTGAGCAACTCCAGAATGGAAGTGAGTCTTGCTCTTCTCGTTGACATTAGTTCCAGAACCCAGGCTGCGCTTCAAGGTGATTCTGACCATATTTAGTTGGAACCACTCAACCTCGCGAACTAGTTCACGTTCCTTCCCCACCAGAGAGGTGACATTCCACGTCCCTAGAGCGAGCTTCTGAAGCCAAGGATCAGACCGCCAGGGTCCCTATCCATGGCTGCCGCCCAGCTCACATTGCACCTGACCCCTATAGCCCCTCTTGCAGGTGGTGGGTCTACTGGAAGGGGACCCACATTGTCCTTTCGAGCTAAGCCCGACTGAGCCCCATGGACAAACACACGGTTGTCAGGGGCTCGCCACCGTTCCAGGCCTGGCTACAGAGGGGGGCACCAGTGATCCATGGCCGGACAAGGGAAACTGGGCTCCAATATTTTTATGATTCATGTTGGTTTTTTGGACATGAAATTAGGGCAGTGCCATATAATACCATTTGATTATCTCAGTCACTGGGATATGGGGTGCAGTGACTTGCCAGCTGCACCCCATATGATAAATCAAGTAAGCGCTGGAAAGACATTAGTAAGCTGTCAAAATTTGTATGGCGAAAGAAATTATACCAATTCAAATTATAGAGAAGGAAGGCTTCAAGTACACCAAAACTCTTCTCAAGTTTGCCGTTTGGCAAAAAAATAACTGTGCATTCAAACCACTAGTGCAGCCTTTGAAAGGTTGTTCAGCACAGGATGGAACATTGTTACCTGCGATAGGTCTACACTGAAGCCTGCTTTAGTTAAATATAATACTTAATAAATTATGATAGCCAGATAGATGGCTATACTCTGCTCATGATTAGCAATCCTTTCAGGCAGAATTTAATTTGTTTTCAGCATTTGTCACAAGTTTTGGAATTTATACCTCATTTAAAGACAACCAATTTTTTTTTTGTGTATGCTACATTTATGTTCAAATGATCTCAAGCTTTCATTTTGTGTTTTGGGAACTGCACCTGGACCTTTAGTTTAGGTGTCGAATTTTGTTTTTCAATATTTTCTGCAGAAATTTTCAATCTAAATTATGGAAGGAAAATTGATATTTTTATATTTTGAGACTTAATCCTTTACTAAATAAAGTAATTGCTGTAAAATTAACCTGTTTTTGATGATACTTCAAAGCAACCTTTAAGTTAATTTAGTCAAATGAATAACTATAATTTCTGTTTATTTATATATTCATGTATTTATTTATAGTTTACATCCCAAAATGTATCCTTAAGATGTTGCATCTGACTTTATTTGCAATTAGAGATTTAACATTTTAAATGTTGTAACAGCATCAAATTCATTTATCATTTATTATTCTGTAGCATTGGAGGACTCATCTTGGACAAAACAGTGACTGACCCAAATCTAGCTGGTATCGTTGTTTACACACCAGTCATCAATGGTGAGTATTGAGTTTTCTTTTCCTTTTATTTGATCACATTCTGATGTTAGGTTAGACACAATTTTATCGTACACACTATTGTGTTACAACATTAAAACTACTGATTGATATTGCTACGCTTTTTTCTAAAGGAGTGTTCCACTAGGGAAACCTACATTCTTGTATTTCCATGGCTACAACGTCAACACTTGTTGCATACTTTTTTTTTACGGACCAGTGACTTCTTCCTTTTTGGTCTCCAGAGTATATATTTTAATTTCTATTTAGCTTAAGGGCCAAGCAATTAATTTTGTTAATACTTTTTTAATTCTCCAAATGAACATTAACTGTTTTTTTTTTGTATATGCTCTTGCTATAGGTAGGTAATAGGAGAAGACAAAAATCAGGTGGTTTCAAATCAGATAAAAAAATGTATAGCAGTGAGGACGGTGTCTTAGACATCTTTAATTAATAATTAATTCTGCTATGCAAAAATAATATTATTATCCGATAATTCCTTGGTTGTACCCATTTTATCTGCCAGTGGTATTATACCATGATGATCAATGGGAAAAGTAATTGAACCCTCTTTCACTTTTTTCTCCATTTTCTTCTTGCTCTGCATTTTAGACTTCTCCACAGGTCATCTTGATTTAAAGTATTTTTTCCATTTCTGGTGCTTTTGGAAGGCCACTTGACATTAGTTTTTCTGAAATCTTCAAAAACAGCCAAATCAACTTTCATATACTGTTTGCTACAGTGAACAGATTAACAAACCCTCCAGTTTCACCACCATTAGAGTTTGTTTCTACAAATGGGTTTCATGAGTTGGCATTATTCTGTAATGACAAAGTTTAAGGCATTAAAAATGCAATAATTTCCGCAACATCTAGAGCTGTTGAATTTACAGCTGTTACTGACAAAGCAGTTGATGAGATCATATGCACCCTGAGTCCATTGACATGCTCCCTGGACGAGTTACCCACTAGATTCCTAAAGTCTGTGTTGAGCCGTTTGTTACCGCAACTCGCTGATCTACTTCAGACTAGAATATTTCCAAAGGCCTTAAAAACTGCTATCATTAAGCTTCTTTAAAAAAAAGAGCATATGCCACTTGATGCCACAGGAACAACTACTGGTCCAAATTAAACCTGCCATTCTACCAAAGTCCTAAACAAGTTGGATACCAACAGCTTACTGACTTTCTCCTGTCCAACAATGTGTTTGATACTTTCCAGTCAGGTTTAGGCCCCACCACAGCACTGACACAGCTCTGATCATGGTAACAACACAGTCTGAACACAGGCACAGGCGGAGCCTCTGTCTGAGTTCTGCTGGAGCGCCGAATCTGACGACCATGTGATGCTATTACAGTGGTTAGATGACTGGGTGGGAATCTCTACTATGGCTTTAAACTGGTTCATGTCCTACCCCTAGGAAAGGATTTACTTTGTTTAAATTGGGAACCTTTTGGACCAAGTTGGCATTTTATTCTATAACATTACAATACAGTAATAAGACTTTATTAGACAGCCTCTACTGAAATCTAATTCTTTGTTAATATATCTTGTAGCTATATATATATATATATATATATATATATATATATATATATATATATATAAAGTACAACCTCTACATACAAATTATATTTGTTCCGGGACCTACTTCATATGTTAAAATATTCTTGTGTTGGTTCAACCGTGGTTAGGAGGGACTGAAATTAACATAAGAGTTCTCTGTTTCTTTATGACCTGGTAATTCATTTAGAGCTGATGGAATTGCATCCTTAAATTTAGCTATATCACTATCAGACAGGCATCTTGAGAAGACATTTTTGCCACATGGAGGTTAATTCAGCAGTAAAAGCTCAAAAGTTAGCAAACAGTGGTCAGATACAGATGGATTCTGTGGGAACACAATTAAATGTTCAATTTAATACCATACACCAGAACAAGGTCAAGGGTGTGGTTAAAACAGTGAGTCGGTTCATGAACACTCTGAGAGAAGCCAATGGAATCTAACAGAGAGACTGTTCTCAACACCTGCATGAATATTAAAATCCCCTACTATAATAACTTTGTCTGTTTTAAGGACTAAAGTTGACAAAAACTGTGCAAATTCAGATAAGAATTAAAAGTACGGGCCGGTGCTCGGTACACTCTAATAAATAGAATTGGTTGCAGTGATTTTTTTCAAGTACTTTCTCAATTGAGCCAGATATGATGACTGGGCTCTGATGCCTTGTAAGGGATGCATTCAGGTCATGGAAAGATTAAATATTTTCCTGTCAAAGCTTACATACTTCCACTAGAATCTCAGACTAGTCACTAGCCTCCACTATGCTTTTCTATGGCTTAGCTTCAGCTAGCTGTTAAGGACCTACTTTTGTCTCATCACTGCTTTCCTGTTCCTTGTTTCTTTCCTTGCCATTTTATGGGACGAACATGTTACATTTGTCTTTTAATGTAATCTCATTTTCATCTATCTGTTTATATCGATAGAATTGTTCATTTTATTGGGCTACTTAGAGCTGAGAAATGACTTCCCTGTCTCGGCCATGATGGAGGCCAAGTATGAGATTGTACGGTTTAGTATAATACATATATTTTTTTAATAACCCTAAAGCCGACTCTAACCCTGACCCTAACCCATTGTTTTTTCCATAATAAAGTAAAAGGGGGTGAAGACTGTAACATGTAAATCGAAATTAGGCATTTTCTTCAGACTTAAAAAAAAATATATTTTGTTTTCCCACGACACTGTTGGGAATAAGCGGTATAGAAAATGGATTGATGGATAGATGGGAAAGAATTAAAATGGCTATTTACACTCTCTAATTTGTAATCATAGATCACAGCCAATGTTTTTATTTCTTCTCCTCTCATCAATCAAATGTCCCTACTACGTATAGGTATTGGTGGAAACCTGGTAGCCATTCAGTCTAGCAGGATATCTACCTACCTGCATTTACACTGTGCTCCCGGGGAAGTTCCTGATGAGGCAAAGGGTTGCTATTATCCCTGCCGCACATTTTGTGGCACAGGTCAGTAGAAGTACTCCTGCTGTGAATTTATTTAAATCATATTATTAACTAGTGTAATTTGACTATGATTTGGTAATTTGCTAACCCCTCATCATCTTTATTTTTACTGGCTATTGCAAATGCTTTGCTGATGACAGAGCACATGTTTAACGTGGGCTGTAATAGTCGATATTGTCAAATGTTTGTCTTGTCTTGCAATGAAATTATTTATATTCAACAGTAGCCTTTCTTTCTTTCATCTTGTTTGTAATTATCAGGAGCAAACCATCGCTCTGCCCAAGTGCTACTACTTTTAGTGATTCCTGGTCACCTCATCTTCCTCTATACCATACACCTGATGAAGAGTGGTCACACCACCCTAACACCCATTTTCATGTCTGTGTACCTCGCTGCTGCTGTGCTGCAGGTAAGTTAATGATGACCATAATGCCAAGTTAGGTAATAACATTGTGTTGCAAATGTTAAAAACTGTTGCTGTGCCCCCCACGATAGAAAGAGTGAGTTACATACATACATACATACATACATACATACATACATACATACATAC